GCTGGGGTTGTTTAGTCTGGAGAAGAGAAGGCTTAGAGGTGACCTCATCACTCTCTTCAACTACCTGAAGGGAGGTTATAGCCAGGTGGGGGTTGGTCTCTTCTCCCAGGCAACCAACAATAGGACAAGGGGACATGGGCTCAAGCTCTGCCAGGGGAGGTTTAGGTTAGATGTTAGGAAGAAATTCTTCACAGAGAGGGTAATCAGGCATTGGAACGGCCTACCCAGAGAGGTGGTGGATTCACCATCCCTGGAGGTTTTTAAGCAGAGACTGGATGTGGCCCTTAGTGCCATGATATAGTAATTGGAGTTGGACTTGATGATCTTGGAGGTCTTTTCCAACCCAATCTATTCTATGATTCTATGATTCTATGACTCATGCTGGAGAAATTTGTGGAGGACTGTCTCCTATGGGAGAGACCACACGCTGAAGCAGGGGAAGTATGTGAGGAGTCCTTCCCTTTGAGGATAGAGCAGCAGAAGCAGCGTGTGATGAACAGACACAGCCCTCATTCCCCAACTCCCTGTATAACCGACAGGGAGGAGGGAGAGGAATTGTAACTGAAGTTAAGACTGGGAAGAAGAAAGGTGTTTTAAGATCTGGTTTTATTTTTTATTATCCTGCTCTCATTGATTAGTAATAAATTAAATTAAATTCCCCAAGTTGAGTCTCTTTGCCCATGATGGCAACAGCAGAGTAATCTCTCCCTGTCTTGTCTCAATGCACAAACCTTTTGTTGTATTTTCTTTCCCCTGCCCAGTTGATAAATGGCTTGGTGGGCAACTGGTGTTCAGCTAGGGACAACCCACCACAACCTTGAATTTTGAGACATCATTAAAGTAAAATAAATCTTGTCAGTCCTCCTGATCTTGAAATTTGAGATATTAGGTGTATCATTCAAAGTCTACCTTTGAATTGGAGCTGGGAATAAAAGATTGTGCAATTCCTCTTAGAAATACACCAAACCCACTTATTTACTAGAATTGATAAATAGATCACCATAGAAGGCTTAATGAATAAGAAAGACATACTAGGATTATTCAACATCATCTCCAATTTCCCTTACATCCTTTGTTTCTCTATTAACACTGTGCTATAGGAACAGTGCATTCTCTAAATTACAAAATTTAATAAAAAAGAAAAATAAAATAACATAATATACTCTGAGTTTTCGTATTTAAATGATGACCTATTTTCCTAACATTTTTGTGGGTGTGTAGCGGGCTGCTCAGTGTTTCTCCACTTAGATGGGGAAGTCTCCCCTCATGACTAGTCAACATCATTCTTATCTCACCTTAGGACTACTGACCCTTGTTTTGACACACAGAGCTCTGACAAAAGATTCAAAAAACTGAATGATGAATAGTGGCCCATTTCTCTAGCTTGAGATTGCTCCCAATGGCATTTGTGTGCCGGGACTGTTTATGTCAAGCTCACATTTCCTTATTCTTTACATTGCTCTGTTTATGACTTTTGGTCTAATGATATAATTCACTTCTTTTTTTTTTAGTTCTTTTGTTCTATACTTGCATTGTATGTGACAGCCTATTCCTTTTCTCAGAATTTTAGTTAGTAGGATCATTGAGTAGTTACAGTATACTGACATAGTGTATAGTAACTATGTGGTACTAAGAGCAAACTACCAAAGCATGTGAAAAGTAGTCCCAAAAGTCTGTCAGAAAATGCCAGTTCTTACCAAAGGGGGTGAAGATATATCATGGTCGTAGTGATTCAGTGTACTTATTGATTTTTTACGCATTAAACTGAGAGAAATCAGAATTAGGCGAACTTGCCAGAGAAAAGTTTCTCATTCAGTGACACTAAAACTTTGAGAATATGTGTTGTTTTCAGTAAACTTTGTGAGCAAAAACTCGAAGAATGAATGGAAAATACAGAACCAATTCATTGTTTACATGACTTTTTTGTATTTTCCCTCAAATTTACTTTTTTATTGCAAGTGAAAAGTAAGTCTAAATGAACTGTATACATTCAGAGAAAGTTTAATTTATTTTTATGTTATTTGAAATTATTCAGTTGAAAAGAAAAAACACCTTCACCTGAAATTTGTATGCTGCATCCCTAACTTAATAGAGCTTTCTCAGTCCACTGCCATTTCTGTCTTCTTTCCATTGTCTTCGATATTCACACTCTTATTTCAGATCCAAAAGCTCTCTACTAAGTTGAATTAGGGGGCTGAGGAGTTGGTAACAACAGCCTGTGTTACCAAATTGCATATTTATTCTATTTATTCAAGAACCTCTTAAAACAGTCAGTACTGTTAAAGTAAGGAAGGCCTGCGGTACAGAATTTTTTGAAACTCTCCTTTAAAATGATAATTTTTGCTACCATAGCAAGTACTGAAGTATTTATGGAAACAGCTGTGAGACACTGGTTTGCCAAACCATGAAGGACAGATTCTATCTTCAAGGGTTCAAGAAGAAGGAAAATGTAATATGAATTTATGCATATAATTTCTGGGTGACAGAAATCAAAGGAAATGTTTCCTTATGCAGTGACAATTTACTGTGAGAAATAAGCATGAACAGAACGCTGAGGGTAAAATCTGACACAACTAGAATGAAAAACATGACTCTCACTGGAATTTATTTCCTTAAATTCTTCTAAGTAGACATTAATTTTTTTTTTTCGTTGTTGTTATATCAGTGGAGACAAGTGGCAAGCAATACCTATTCTCTTTTCTATGTGCTTTTGGGTTTCATTACTGCTATAGGAATGAAAGACCTTACAGTCTCAGATTAGTCACTTTTCTCTTTAACAGATATGTATTACCAGTATCCCCGTATTATCTGGTACAAGAAATGGAATATCTGCCCAATGATAGATAATAGAGCTTCAAACTCTGTAACTCTCCATTTTAGACAGCACTAAGCAGGGGATACCACCTCTTACTGAATTCAATTTTTTATTCCTTCCATCCTATGCTCTGTTCAAACCATTCTAAGCATATAAAGCAGTAGAATACATTCACAGAGATTTCTGTAGATAATTCTAACAAGTCAGCTTTCATTTAACCTAATTTTTTTTTTTGCAGGTTTCAACCCTTAGTGATGATTAATCATGACTAGCAGTTGGCATTTCTCCTCTCTAACACTGCCACAAGCAATGAGTATTTGGTCTAGGTTTCTGGGACAAAAATGTAAAGGTAAGACCTTCTATATACAAATATCCAAATTTATGCTGTGATTTTAAAATCATAGAAATAGTAGAAATGAAAAAAAAAAAAGAAAAAAAAAAGAAACAGCATTCCTGTGCTTCTGCTAGCTGCTTGTCAACACTCAGCAGAATCTAAAAAGAATTATATTCTCACTGCCATTGAAAACCCAAGTCTGTTTAATCATTCTATGTGATTTGTCTTTTCCTTCAGTGAAAAAGCATAAGCTTTCTTATTGCCTAAAACATGAAGCACATAAATCTACTAAAAAACAATGTCAAAAGCAGTAAGACAAGAATAAAGTTATTTATTCTTTTTATTCATTCTTATTATTTAAGGTTCTGCATAAGGTGTTATGCATATGCATAGGTGTTACTACTCCTATGATGCTTTGTTTTACTCTTGTGGTAGCTAGGCAAATCTTGGTAGAAAAGTTTTCCATATGAAGTCATAAATATGCAGTTTCATTGGGTTTTTTAGTAGGAAGGAGGATAAACTTGAGGTGAGTAGACTAGGCTAACATTATTACAGCAAAGTTTTCTGCAGAACATGGGCAATCGATATTGTAATATAATGAATACAATTTTGTAATTGTCATCCTTCATCTTCTCTCACCAAATAAAAGATCCAGTTTTATTTTTGCTGTAAGGTGTGCCTTTTAAATAATAAAATTTTGCCTTTTCACCCTATGGGTTTTAACTCCATTTAACTTGATGACTTCTGGCTATTTCCTCCCACTTTGTTT